AGACCTGCAGAGATAATAACATGCACAAAAACAAGACAGAGCATAACCAAGCAACAATATACAACAAAACAACAATAAACCAGTGACAGAAATCAAAACAAAACACAACAAGAGAGAAAAGCTTGTAGTTCAGTGATTATTTGTTGGCCTTTAGGAGTGTTTTCCCTTATGGAGACTCTCCGTGTATATTTTTTGTTAAAGTCTTGTTTGATTTCTCCAAATATCTGCAGCACGATCATCCAGATCCTGTTACCGCCCATCAGCACAACACACAGAGTATGGAAATCATCACCTGCCTATGTCTCCATGCCTGATTATTTCTCTTATAAAAATTAAGGAGATTGTGATCTTTCTCAGAGGATAGGCATGATTATATTTCATCCACCTGTTCTATTTCAGTTGAATAGTTTATTCTCTTTTGTCTTTTTTTGTTTTGTTTTCTAATAGTTTGACCAGCCTCGACTTGGCCTCCCTTCCCGGGACTACTATGAATGCACTGGTATCTATGCAGAGGTAAAACAAACCAACAAATAACTTAACAAAATGATCTGGTAGACATTTATGAATAATCAAAAAGACGAAGGTCGCATTTACAGTTTGCCTGCTTATGTTGTTTTCTCAGGATAGATACTTAAAAATCACATATAGTTGAGGCGCTACCTTTAAAAAGTAGGCTCAGTAGAGTGAAAGAAGTTATTTTAAGAAACAAAATTCCTTATTTGTGCATTGATTCTTGGTATTTAAAGTAGATGACCCATTTTTAAAAGTCCATTTTCCGGGGTTTAATTAGTCTATAATAAATATATATATAAAGAAAGAGTTAACAGCTTAGGGTAGAGCTGAGTTGGACCAGGGTGTGGTACAGCAAAAGACTTCCTTTAATGCTGCATCCTTACTTTGCTTTCTAACTTGACTTTCAGAGGACTTTTACAGTAGGAGTATCAAGTTCAGAGCAACCTTCACAACTACCTCTTGCCTCTAGCATTGACCTGCTAGCCATTGGGGTCACACCTTCAGATTGAAAGCTCTGCTCCACTGCAGTGCTGGGACCCCAATGTTCTTCTCTCCTGTTGATCTAGATGCAATATTCTTTGATGTTTTACATGTGCCTGGTCAAAGTTGGTCCATTGGTGCCCTGTTCTCATTTCTGGCCACAAGGGAAAAGCAAAGAACGAAGGTTGTGAACAGGTGGTTTTTATTGTTGTAAGTGGTGAAGCAGTTACATGCATCTCAGCACATATTCCATTGGTTAGAATGGAGGAATGGTTTCATCACCATGCCTAAGTGCCATGACAGAGGATTCCCCAAAATAGTTGCCTTCCAATTGATTCCAACTCATGGTGGCCCCATGTATGTCAGAGTATAACTGTTCACAGAATGAGAATGGCTGCGACTTCTCTGAAATTAGGCCAGGCCTTTCTTCCAATGTACCTCTGAGTGAATTAGAACCAACAACCTTTTGGTTAGTAGCTTAACCACTTGTGCTACCTCTGGACTCTTGTGCCTTCATAAAGCTCAGTTGGCAGTTTGGAAATTTCTATTCCTATGTTAGACAGGGTTCTCTAGAGAAACAAAACCAGGACACTAATGATTTTTTAAGAAATAAACAATTAAATTATAAAGCAGTACAAATGGCTCAGTGCAACTCACTCCTGTGAGACAGTTGTGAGACACTGGCAGCCCTTCAAGTCTTGAGGGTTGCTGGGTAGTCCTCTGTAGAGCAATTCAGGCTATCCAGGCACAGGCAGCAAACAGCAAGGCAGGTCACCAACAGTCAGCCAGATGACAGGGTCTGGCTCAAGAGATGTACATTCCAAAAGTGTGGCAAAGCAGGCATTGAAGGAACCTCAAACTACAGCGACACAGTCCATGGGTTAGGTGTCCCACAGGTAGTATAGCTTGCAAATTGAGGCAGAGAACAAGCTAAGGCACACTGGTCTGATCATCAAAGAGCAAGAGACAAGAAAGGCGAGGTTCACTGAGCCGTTTATCTCTCTGCCCTTCAATTAATCCCACATGTGCTCATTAGCCAGGTTACCACAATAAACCTACCTATCACAATTACTAAACAGAAAAATGAGAGTATGGAGGCCCCTGAGTCTTTATCAGTGTCTGGCAGAGTTTGCATCCAATCAAGATAACATCGCATTTTGAGTCACGTAGCACAGTGGTGATCAAATCTAGGATCAGTAATAAGAATACCTCTATCTATGGAATTACAGCCCAGGTGTGTGTGGAGTTTAAGGTGAGTAATCCAGGGTGCAGTCATAAAACTGGAAGTCAAACTTTTGTCTTTTTTTTCCCCGTTACATTAGCCCTTGGTTCTTTAAATCAACAAAACTGTAGTGAAAACTCAGCATCACAGGACTTTCCTGCCCATAAGTTACCCACTACAGGTAGTTGCCCTCCAGTGCCTGGGAGCGGACTAACAGCCATGTGGCAAATTCCGTGCCCTGCGCCCAGTCCATCACCACTGGTTTGATCCCTGGATTCTTTCCACTCTTCTCAGCCTTAGGCCCCTTTTCCATTAATGCTCTGGACTGCAAGCAAGCTCCTTCCAGTTGAAGGGAATTTGGATATGAGAAAAAATCTACCTGTCATTCCAGACATGAATAAATACTGGAATGTTTCTATATCCTCCTTGCCCTTTTTGACATCATTTTTTCCTGGAGAGGTAGATTGCTATTTTTTAAAAAATCTTAATTTTCTCTTATTTCCCAAATTTCTTCTCAATCTCCACCACTTGCAGTCCCTCATGTAAATTTCCCATTATTTTATTGACAATGACCAAAGGAAGTTTTAGGAATAGGCATTGGGTCACTACATGGTTTTTGCCAAGAACGGGGTTCTTATTTTGAGCCGAGAATTCTAGCTTCTTTACCTGTAGCTCTAACCTGTGCCTTGAAAACGATAGTTTTGAGTATGAGGTTCTGCCTCTGTGCTTTGGGAACTGGTGATGGGCGAAGGTCACCTCTGCCCTCCAATCAAAATAACCCTATGGTGCTTTATATGACAAGACCCTGTTGTCGGAAAAGACTGGGTAAACCACCACGGTAAGCTGGGATCTGAGCAATCTTGACTCCCCACTTTTACAGCTTCCCACAGCAACCATCAGCAGACTGGCACCTCATCTAGTTGTAATCCTTCACTCCCTCTGGCCCTAACACTAAGTGTGAGTCCCCAATGCTTTTACTAAGCAGAATTGCCCGAAACGAACCCATTAAACACTTATAGATCTCCCTGGCTAAATCATAATCCCCAATCCAAACTCAGGCACGTGGTGACAATACCCCACTGCCACCAAGTTGGTTCCGACTCACTGGGACCCTATTTCCGGTTTCTGAAGCTGCAAATATGAACAGGGACAGATAGCCTCATATTTCTGGCTTGATGGATGGTGGCAATAACATCTGCAATTACTTATGGAGATCATTTGTACTGATAGAAACACTTTTTTGGTGTTCTTAATACCTCAAAAATGGAAGTTTTGCGTGCGTCATTTGTATGTCATCCGCAATATGAAAGTGCCGTGCATGGTGGCAATAAAAGTAGAAAACTCATTTGGTTTTCAAGAAGTATTTCTCATTTCATTTCTTGAGCACAAAATCAATTCTTTCTCATGTTAAAGGCATTTCTACTTCTAAAGTTTTATTATTATTATTATTATTATTATTGTACTTTTAAATGTTAAATTTTGAGAAATGTGTGTTGTATTCCCCTGGTTATAATTTTTAACTTAAATACCTCAGTTCTTTTTCAATGATGTCCTTTTCCACTCAATTAAAGAGGGAACCGTGCCTAAGGCAATCAAAATTCAAAAGATATATGTGCTTGTGTTTTTCCAATGACAGGATCATATGTTTTCCTGCATAATTAAAGTTAGTCTTGCACAGATTTTTAAGAGCTAAATGGGACACTGGAGAATTTAGCCCACCACTCCTCTGATAAATGAGGATACTGAGACCCAAAGAGGTTAAGTGACTTGCTTATGGTCATAAATTAGAAGATACATGTGTCTGTTAGAGAAAATTAATTTAAACAATAGAAAACGACTCAGTTTATTAAAATAGAGGCTATTTTTGTTTTTTGTTGTCTGGTCTCGAGAAGCTCACCTAATTAATAAGTTTTATGCATGAATCAGGCACAGCTGTTTCCAACATTCAAGTCTCATCTTCCAGTTAGGGACCAAATAAATCCCACCTGAATTTAGAGAACATCTCAAGAAGTGGTTGACTCACTAGACACTGATGCATGTGGACCTGATAAGTCAAGAACATCTCAGATGAAGGAAGTAGAGGGTCATCAAAAAGATGATGATGAAGAGACGTGGAAGAGATGTGGAAACAAAGTTTGAAAATACAGTTGCTAAAGCAAATGGAAGAAATGGTGGAAAGACCTGACCAAAAATGTTCACAAGGGAATTCACAGAAACAAAGTAAAAAGTCATCGTGAAATATGCAAAGACCTGGAGTTCAATAGCCAAAAAGTAAGAACACACTCAGCAGATGACATCAGGTGAAATATGAAATGAAAGCAGTGAAAGAAATGAAGAAAAATCAAGTCTCCAGCTGTAATATTGAAGGAGTCTATGGGCCAAATATTGGGCAATGTAGAAAATAGCATCAAAAAAAGATGGAAGCATAGTCACTATACCAAAAGAATTGGCTGGTGCTTAGCCATTACATAATTCACCTATGATCAAGGATCAATGATATTCAATGGAAGAGTCCAAACTCCAGGAAAGGCAAGGCTCCAGGAAATGACAAAATACCAAATAAATGTTTCAAACAGCTAATAGAACACCGGAAGCATTCACTCGTGTATACTAAGGAATTTGGAATACAGCTACCCAGCAAACCAACTGGAAGAGATCCATATTTGTACCTATTCCACAGAAAAAGAATCCAAGAGAAGGTGCAGAGTCTCAAATGGAAGTAAAAGTTTGCCGAAGATAATTCAAAAACATCTGTAACATTACATTGACAGAGAACTGCCAGACATCCAGGCCAGATTTAGAAGAGGATATGTAACAAATGATATCATAGCTGACCTTAGATGAATCTTGGCTGAAAGCAGAGAATACCAGAAAGATGTTTAATTTTTTGTTGGCTATGCAAAGGCATTTGACCTTGTGAATCATAACAAACTATGGGCAACCAGTGGGAATTGCAGCGCACTTCGTTGTATCCTGTGGATCCTGTCCCAGAGGCAGTCATTTGAATAGAACAAGGTACTATTGCATGGTTTTAGATCGAGAAGGTATATTTCAGACATGCATGTGCTACCGAACTTAATCTGTATGTTGAGCAAATCATTTGACAAACGATTAAAGGAAATATAGCTCTGCATCAGGATTGCCAGAAGTTTGACCAAACCCTGCTTACTGAGAGCAAGGGACTTAAAGCACTTGCTGATGAAAATTAAAGACTGTTGCTCTCAGTATGGATTACAACTGAAGGTAAAGAAAACAAAAATCCTCACAACTGGATCTATAGGAAGCATCGTGATGAACA